TAAATATTTTTTAATAAAAAAAAAATGACTGAAGTATACAGATTGCTGAATGTAAGTCACTCTGTACCATGTAGAGATGGGGTGTTTGTTTTTTGGGGGGGATCTAGGACAGACGGATTGGTAATAGGCAGAGAAAGGCTGGACAGATGTTTCTATTGTTATGCTATTAAGAGTAACGAACCAAGCCATCAGGAGTGTGTCCCGCTTCCGCGGCCTGGCAGTATAATGACACAGCACATTACGCTTCATGGGTGAACTTCATTCTGCACACAAATGAATGGGCAAAACCCATTTATATATCAAATCAATGTTACAAACATACGTTTGTTTATACAGTTATGGATTTTACTGAATACATATCACACACGCACGCACGCACGCACGCACAAAACGTGTCAATCCGACTTTACAAAATACAGTTAAAAGTTCACACACACACGCGCACACACACACACACACACACACACACACATATATATATAGTCTATATACACACAATTAATGCAGACTGTGTAAAGGATAGGAGGCAGATACAAATCTAATAACATAAATCGCCCATGCTGAATACAGAAGTTTTTAAAATAACAAAAAGAACCAATACAGTTTTTGTCGGCAGGACAACAATACCAAGGCAGTTACAAGATCCCCCTACCACTCTCCCCACACATACATTAAAGAGATATCACTTTGCACGACTTCACATTGTTTATAGTTAAAAATCGACTCCAAAAAGTCAGTTTCATGTCCAGTCAAGCGAGAGAAGAGGATAACTGGACAGCTAGGAGCCCGGCGAAAGCGTCCAAGCCCGGGTGGGGTGACAGCTTGCAGTGGTCAGTCCTGGGGCCCCCAGGCCTGGCCCCCCGCTCGTGCGCATAGGGGACATGTCAAAGGTGACGCTTCAAGACTCCTGAAGCTAACAGCTGCGGGGGAGGGAGAGAGATTAACTTTTTCAGACTTTTCCTAGTTTCTTAGGGACCTGCTTAGTGACAAAACACACATACATCTGTCAGGGTCAAGAACAATGCCATCCGGATTAACGAGTTAAGAAGAACAAGAAAAAAGAGAACAAGTTAAATTATAAAATTATATTAGAAGTCAACTCGGATCACCTGTGAGGATTTGACAAGTGGTTAACGTAGCAAGAGGTGAATGATAATAATAATGATAATGATAATAATAATACCAACAATAATAGTGTTGTTGTTGTTAACTGCTGAAGGCAATCGTAATTAAAATCTTCAGAAGTGAAACAACATTGTCAGCTGAAATATAAATAGAAATAATACAAGTACATATTTTGCCGCTCATTATGAATTCAGGAATTTACAGTGGTAACAAACTCTTTGGCTCACGATGCATTTATTTTTACATAAAAAATGGCAAGCCGTACAGTGCAGGTCACAGACTTTGCATTATCACCATCGACCATTAATTTGATGGAAAAGATCGTATTCAAGCACGAAATTTAGCAGCCAGCCACATCTGCGCACATTCTCATAGTGGTCGATATTTTTCATTCGCACTCGTGTCTCCGTGACGTGCGCAGCGGTGTGTGTGTGATGGAGGGTTATTCTGTTGAGGCCTAGGCGTCTCTCCTTGCCTATGAACCAGAGTTTGTATTATCTTTGAACTGTATACAGCAGTGGTGGACAGATTAGTTATAAACATTAGCAAAATAACGTGTATATATCTTAGAAATCAATCTCACAAAAAGGTGCATGGAAAAAATGTAAACTACAGTAATCTAAGTTTACAAATATCAAATTATATATTCTCATAATTGTTTATCTAGAATTATATGTGAAACCGACGATGTTTGACGAATATAGCCTACAGTTATAGTGTATTGATTAAACGCATAAAAGTAAAATTATAGGCTATTCATACAAAATTCACACATTAAAATTCTCGAAGTAAGATTTCATAAGTTGTATTTTCACAGCGATTTATTCTCATTAAAGCATAAAAAGGTAACAAAAGAGACTGAAAATTCAGTACCAATGAAGCAAATATTGATTATAAAAAAGAGATCCTCCGTTTAACATTTCTTAATGGGGTATGTGCACTCACTCACAAAGAATATTCAATTATTTAAAGACTTTTGCCCCTGAACTTTGCCTCAAATCGTTAATTGGGCGCCTGTGTTTTTATATGTGGAGAACAGTTTTAGAGCCCCTTGACTTTAAATGTGAATCAAAGGCAAACCTCAGCACTAATGCCACTATATGAAACAAACAGAAGCACAGATCAATACAGAGTCAGATATTAACAAGACGGGTTGGTGGTAATTTATAAATAAATAGAACTGCAGTTTGTTTTTCAACATTTCAGTAATAAGCCAGCGATTTAAATGTGTACCCAAATAGCATCGTTCAAAAAAAAAGAAAAAAGAAAAAAAGATGTACGTTTTAAAATATCCAATACTGTAACATGTGAAGAAATTGGATTTTACATAAATGGCGATTCTCTCTATTATTTTAAAATATTATTTTTAAATATCTACTAAACGTTTTGTTATCCAATTTTCAATTATGCAGACATAAATTTGGAAAAGCTGCTTTGGTTCAAAATGCAACTGTTTAACTCTGAAGAAATAGTATTTTATTTATGAAATATTAATAATAATAATAATTGTTTCTGAGTAATAATATCCCAGTTCCAGAATTCTGGATCTTTAACGTTTATGAAAGGAAATATTACTATACTACAGATCAAATTAAAAGGAAACGAATTGTACTTTATGATCTCTAATAAGGCAAACCTCAGAAAAAGGCCTCTTATTAGATTGTCTAAGAAATAGATTATTGTTATCTGTAAAACTCACCGATCTCAGAGCGTTCTGCGCAGGGGATGATTGAAATATGCAACAATCGATTCTGGATTACATTAGCGGATCAGTTTAGTGAACAAGTATAATGAAAAGATACAATTACAGCAACACTTGGAATAAGTAACTGAAAGTGTTAATTGTTTTAAGAGGATAGTAGTTGGATATCATTTAAAACTAGTGTGTCCACCAAAGCAGTAACAAATTCAGCATGCCGATTTTAATTTTGTATTTTTGTATTTTTAATTTTTCCATTTCACGCGTGGAATCAATAAAGCGATTGAAACAATGTTTATCCTGTTTTCAATTGTCAAGCCCAGTACAATAGGAAGTCGAGATGTTGCATATAACTAATTTTTCAATTGGCACACGTTTTACAGAAAGCGATGAATAATAATAATAATAATAATAAAAAACAAAATCTGTAAGTAGGCTATAGATTTATAGATGTATGCCTATAAATAGGCTATGCATAACAGCTATGAAAGTCGGTTTGCTGTTAAAAAGCCAAATAATCTAATAAGATGTAACGTTATCATTGCCCTGTCTCAAGGACTAAATTTGGTCTGATTTTTTTATTGACCCGAAAATAACAGAAACATTTAGATTAAATTATTGTAAAGATGACTGACTGCTGTAATCCTGTTAAAATCATTAACCGAGTAATGCTCTGTACACTTGTTTGAGCATTTGTACAATACATTTATTTCTTTCAACAACCAGAGACTAGTTATTGTTCATGTTCAAATAAGAAGTGAATCTGAATCCACTTCCCAATTTATGCAACAAGTTTCTGTCATGCGTATGCATCTGTATCTTCAGGTTTACTTTGAGAAAAATTGGGGGGAAACAAAACTTTCCCTTTGGAGATGTCTTCAAGGTAAAATGATTCACAAATAATGTGTTCAAATTGTTTAATGCTTAAAAGTCTAAAGATGCACAAACTTCGATTTTATTTCTTTAGCTTTCATTTAAAATAATAAAATAGAGATTAAATACGCGTGTGTAGGCTACGTGTTTTAAAGAGCGAGAGAGTGAGAACGAGTGTGATAACAGTTGACATTATGATAACTTCATGTCAATATTTACAGAAGATGATAGAGCTTGCTCGTCTTGCAAACTCGTAATATACTTTGTTCAAAAATATGTGGCGATGGCACTGTTAAATCAGCTTATTAGATTTGGGAAGCATAAGAGAGAGAGAGCATTTCTCTCTTTTTTTACTAATATTTTCAAGTATACTCTCTAAATTACCTTCTGAAACTTACAGTAAGGTCAGGAGTACCGTGATAGTGTAAAATGGGCGGGCAAAGGCAGCCCTGAATCCAATCAGACAGCCTACATAAACACACGAGCCTTCACTTGATAATTAATTATCATAATTAATGAGTATAACAGCTGACCTTCAGTGCGTCAAATAGTTTGAGGGCAGCATCATGCTGTTTTCGATCTAATTATAATGGGGCAGTGAAACATAAACCTCTTAAAGTGCCCCATATTAAAGCACATATATAGCCTATCTGCCGCATTGCCTACACACCCCCCACTACAGTAACACAATTCAATGCATGAACGCAGTACTAAATAGATGCTAACATGATTATACTGTGTATATAAGTTTATGCGAATCATGGCATATGATTTACAGCACTGGGACAATTTGACAGTGCGTAAAACTGACCCCTG